TGGTCCAAGATCCCAAGAAGCAAACTCAAGAGAAATCAACACAATTCATCATCAGCGATTTTAAAGATTACAAGAGAATGCTTCTATGGTGTTGTGGTGTGATTGAGGGATATTGTGAGCTAAGTTGAGATAGGGTTTCGATTGGTAGCTGTTGTACAAGGTATGTATAACATCTTATTGATTGTGCCTAAGGTTAATCTTGTGTTGGTGTGTTGTTTGAGTGAAAAATTATAAGATAGCACTTGAAAGAACATTGGATATAGTTGTCTTTTTGGTTGGACTGTTTTGTGGCTAAATATATGGTTTGTGGTGGCTGAAAATTGTGAGAAATAATTTGATTATGTTGGGGTTGATGTTGTTAAGCTTTTCTAGGTGTTAATTAAGTTGATTGGAGAAGAAAAAATGAAAAATAAGTGATTGACGATAAAAATTAAGGTGCTAGACGTATGAGGCTGTTTTGGAAGGTATTTTGTGGATGTTTTAAACTAGAAATAATATGGTACATATAAGTATGATGTTATGAAGGTTGTAAACTAATTTATGTAATACAAGTTGGATTCAATTTATATCTTGTTATGAGTAATAACGAGCTTGCCGCTCAATATGATTGTTAAGATAATCTGAGAAACTCATATTGGATTATATCATTGTTGTTGCTATTGTTGGTTATAGTTGTTCTTGTTGTTAGGCTGATGATCACCCTTAGTGGTCTTTGGGTTGTATTAAATAGGGGAGTTGCTTCCCGATTTTCCTTAAGTCATACAACTAGCCAAATACGATGGTACGACATTATATGTTAATGGCAATATCATTTCACTTATTGTAGATGAAAGAAATTGTGTTGAGATTGGTTGAGTAATAAGGAAGAGATCATACATGTATATTAAGGTTAATCCTTTTTTCTTTTGGCATGATCCAAGTAACGATACGTAAACGTAATGTTATTCCATAAGTGGTTCTATTCTTAGCGATTAAGGATGTCTATATTATCACTCATGTAAACTGATATTCAAGCATATCTAAGTATGTTCCTAAGTCTCTATTGAGGTATTTGATAAAGATGTTAATGTTTATAATATAGTGATACATGCATATTCATTTACCATAGTGTTACGACCGGTTGGGAAGTCATACATATTCATTTACCACCGTGCTACAGCCGGTTGGACAGACATGCATCTTCATTTACCACCGTGCTACGGCCGGTCGGGCAGTCATGCATTTAGCACTGAGCTACCGATTGGGCAGTTATGTATTATTTACCATCGTGCGATGGCCGGTCGGGCAGTTACCACCGATTAGTTGGGCAATCATGCATTATAAGATATGGATAATAGTCTCAAAGAGAAGCATTATATATATATATATATGAGTATAATAAGTATGCATATACGGTGGCACTTCCGAGATTCAGTTGATTCTTATATGTCCTTAATTAATGTTGACTTACTGTTATGTTTCAGTTCCGCCTTACACACTCGGTACATTATTCGTACTGACGTCCTTTTGTTGGAGACGCTGCATTTATGCCTGCAGGTATAGACAATCAGTTTGACGAGCCCTCATAGTAGACGAGGTCAGCATTCACCGAAGGATCGGTAAGACTCCACCTCATTCGGAGTGCATCCGAGTCTATAAGTCATCGTGTCAGAGTTTTGCTACAGACTTATGGGTAGGCCGATACCCTATCCCATTTGATGTCAAATAATCTTAGAGGTTTTGTAGACAGATGTTCATTTTGTACAAAATGTCAGAGGCCTTGACGGTCCATTTGTATTCATGTTTTAAGAAGGATAGTTCATTGATACAGTGTTTTCCACTTATAGTTATACATTACGAGTTGTGGCCATGTTGGCCCTTGATAATTAAGAAAGAAAAAAATGAGTTACAGAGTGATTCGCTCGGGCAGTACGACACCGGATGCCAACCACGCCTCCCCAGGTTTGGGGCGTGACAATATCATTTCTTATCGGACAAATTAAAAAGGAAAGAGTATCATATAGTAAGTTTTTATAGAGGGAACGACACTTAAACTCTTTGTTTTATACTTCCTTTCTTCCCTTTTACTTGTCATATTTATTTACGCATATGCTTTAAGAAAATATTAATTAAAAATAATTTGACTAAATTAAACTTATCTTTTGTTTGATCTCAATTTGTCGCTTCTTGCTTTCATCAAATTAATCTTTCTCCACTGTATTAGTAAGGATAAAACTGGAAAGAAAGAATAATTATTTCTTATTTTTCTGAAATGACAACTATTTTTAGTCAAGGTGACATATTATTCGGAGCGCAGGCAGTAGTTAGAACACACATTTATGTAAAATCTTCCCTTTATCGTGAGTTAAACTGAAAATCATATAGCGCGTGTTTGGTACGAAGGAAAATATTTTTCAGAAGATATTTTCCAATTTTTTTATATTTGGTTGGCTTTAGAAAATATTTTTCTCTAATTGGAGGAAAATATTTTCCCTATCAAAAGAAAAAGAAAGGAAAATATTTTCCAAAACTCTTTTCAACCTTCCCTATNNCCCCCCAAATTTTTTTTTTTTTAAACCCCGGGGGGGGGAAAAAAAAAAAAAAAAAACCCCCCGGGGGGGGGTTTTTTTTTTTTTTTTTAGGGAAAAAACCCCCCCCCTTTTTTTTTTTTTTTTTTTTTTTTTTTTTTTAAAAAAGGGGGGGGCCCCCCCCCGGTTTTTTTTAAAAAAAAAAAAAAAAAAAATCGGGGGGGTTTTTTAAACCCTACCCATAAAAAAGGGGGGGGGGGACCCCCCCCGTTTTTTTTCATTAAAAAAAAGGGGGGGGTCCCCCCCAACGGGGGGTTTTTTTTTTAACAAGGGGTTTTTTTAAACCCTACCGTGGGGTTTTTTAAAACCTTTAAGGGGGGGAAACAGGGTTTTACCGATTACCGGTATAACCTAGAGGTTTTTCCACTTACGATTTTAGACNNGGGTCCCACGTATTGGGACCCTGGTATAAATAGGTAACGAAAAAAAATCGGAGTTTACAGGACTGGATTTACGCTACGGGCAGGTTACGACACCGGTACNGTCCAACCGAACGCCTCCCCAGGTTTACGGGCGTGAACATAATCATTCTTAATCGGGACAAATTTAAAAAGGAAAAGTAGTAATTCAGTTATACGTAAAGGTTTTTTATAGACGGGAACGTACCACTTAAACTCTTCGGTTTTATACTCCTTTACTCCTTTTAACTGTACATATTATTTAACGCAATATGCTTTAGTAAAATATTAATTTAAAAANAATTTTGACTAAAGTTAAACTTTATCTTTTGTTTGTAATCTTCCAAATTTGTTCGCTTTCTTGACTTTTCATCAAATTAATCTTNTCCATGTATAGTAAGATAAAACTGGAAAGAAGTATATTATTCTATTTTCTGAAATGACTACATTTTTAGTCAAGGTGACATATTATTCGGAGCGCAAGGCAGTAAGTTAGAACACACATTTATGTAAAATCTTCCCTTAATCGTGAGTTAAACTGAAAATCATATAGCGCGTGTTGGTACGAAGGAAAATATTTTCAGTAAGATAATTTTCCAAGTTTTTTTATATTTGGTTGGCTTTAGAAATATTTTCTCTAATTGGAGGAAATATTTTACCCTATCAAAAGAAAAAGAAAGGAAAATATTTTCCAAAACTCTTTTCAACCTTCCCTATTTTATTCCCCATCTCCACTAACCCCCACCAACTCACCCCCACACCCCATCTACCCACCCTAACCCGTCCCACCCCTACCCCCCCCCCCCCCGATCCTCATCTACCCGTCCCACCCCTACCCGACCCTCACCCCCACCCTAAATAGAAATAGTATTAATAGTAATTTCTTTTCATGTTATTGATAGAGTACTTTTTTTTTCATTTCAACAAATGAGTATTTTTTTTTCGTGATATAGAAATTTTTTTTTTTTAATTTTAACAAAAAAATACTTTCTTTTCATGATGTAGAGAAAGTATTTTCTTTTCATGATGTAGGAAAAATATTTTCTTTCATTTCAATAAAATGAGTACTTATTTTCATGTTGTAGAAAGAATACTTTCTTTTTCAACAAAAAAATTAGTAATTTTTTTAGTTATGGAGCAAAAATATCAATGTTGTTTTTGCATAAAAAAGTAAAGCAGCAAATTCGTTCCTTTGGGTTCGTGTGAATATTTAGAAGAATAAATTCTTGAAGAAAATAGAATCCTAAAAATGTTGGTTATTTGGGGGAGGATTGGGGAGGGGGGGGGGGGGGAGGGGGGAGCTCATGAAACATGAGGACTTGGGGGAAGGGAGGTGAGGAGAGTAGCATAAAAAATTATTTTCTACTCTCTAACCAAATACTAGAACACTCACCAACCAAACAATAAAAAATAAGTAATAAAACTATTCATTTTCCATGAAAAACATTTTCGTTTGTACCAAACACACCCATAGTGCTTAGAATTTCATCGTTAAGACTTACTCTTATTTTACTTGAATGACAACTCCCTGAAGTTATTCTTTTGTTAGTCAGAACTCCGCGAAGTTTTCAAATTGGGATCTCTTGACGGAGTTGGGTAGAATTGGTCTACCAAAAAATTCGTTCGTCTAAAATGCACCAAAGTCTACTCAAAACGTAAATCGAAAACCTAAGTTGTACACGACCCTTAAGAAACACTAATTAGAAGGGATTTTTGACTATTTAATTTACACTTATTTATGTCTTAAAATATAATATATTTTTTTATTGAATATTTATTCTATTTATGTGTTATCTTCATCTTCAGAACAATTACTACTAAGGGTAAAATGAGAAAAACATAATTAATTTTGTCTTAAACTTTTAAAATGACAAGTAATATGAAAAAATTATTTTTAAAAATCACGACAGATAATTTAAATCGGAGGGAGTGTTAATTACTTGTAGCACCTCTAAGAATTAATTATAGACTAGGAATTTCTAATTCTTCATTATTTCACTTTTCTCCATAATTCCAACTTTGGATACGTTACCTGAAAGCTGAACACCATTTACAATACTTTATCACACCATGCATTGAAAGCTACAAATTACCACATTAACAAGACTTTGTTACACCATGGCTTTTTCCTAAGTCACAGAAAAAGCAGTAAACTTAATAAAGAGTAAAGATGCATGACCAGACAGACACTAGAAAGACAAAAGAAAAAGCTTAAAGAAACAACGGGAGAAATTAAAGGAAAGAAGAAAGAAGCGAAAACTAGAGATGACAACATTTGATTGGACAAAGACAACACCTTAAAACAACCAATGACGAATTTTCGCTTGTATGCTCCTCTCTTTAATGGTATCTAAACTGGGTTTCCATCCTTTTCCTGACAACTGCCTGCTTAAGAATTCGGGCCTTCCTTCAAGAATATCACTGAAGTAATCATGTTTAGATCCTTCTTCCTCTTCTTCTCTTTTCACCAAACAAAGATTCTTGTCCGAATTAAGAACATAATCACGACCATTTCCCAATGATGCAGAGGAAACTGCTGCGGCCGCTGCTGGGCATATACGTGCGAATACTGGCAAAAACCCGGTATAAGAAGCTAACAGAGACTTGGATTTAAGCATAGAGCTAGTTTTCATTAAAATTCGTCGTGCTTCTTCAGATGACAAGCTAACTGGCTTGCCTTTCCTTTTTGGAACCATCATATAAACCTTGTTCCTCTCCAGTTTCATATCAGCAGGCAATGGAATCGGCTTTTTTCCATCCGCGATCGGCTTGAATTCAACCACTATTTGCTGGGGATTCTCCAGCATCAACTCTGCTACTGTTAAAGACTTGTCATAACTCTGAATCGTCCCATCTGTAAAAATAACTTTGCTTGTGCCATCTGATAACTTGCCCTGTGGATTAATGGAATTGCCCATTTGGAGTTTGTTGGTGATGGTTTGAGAAATCTAACTCAAGATGACTTATGGAGATGGGAAAATGAATAAATTAAAGCTGTGTGTTTTTAATGGGGCATTGATAATAGATATTAAAGTTGGTATTTAAGAATGGAAGGTTTGAACTTGAACAGTGAAGTAAAGAAAGGAGTTTGTTAAACCGCTCCATCTTGTGACTTTTTTGAGGGACATAATGGTGGAATTGGTGGTAATGACTCCAAAGAGAATGTCAAGAAAAGGGTAATAAAAGATCTGTTTTGGAGTCGTTTTCTCTAAACTCGTTGACCTGCTCCTCTTCACTTTGTGATCTCATGGAGCCTAGAGCATGCAATCTAACACACGCAATATTTAAATTTCAATGGGAGTTAGACTAGAGAGAGAAAGAGTCTTACCTAACGAGAAATCAGCAAGTCAAGAAATGATGAACCGGTCAACTGTTTATCAACTGCATCTCCAACTGAATCATATCAAAGTTGGTTATCGAAAAGGTACTCAGAAGAAATCCGATCCAAAGGTGAATGTCTCTAGAGAATCCCGATTGAGAATATAAAGATCCCAGCTCCATTATAAAGTTCTGGTCATTACTGTGTTAAAGCTAACCAAAGCCAAGGTAGATGAGAAACAATCGCTGGAATTTGAACCTTGATCTATCATAATTTTCACTTACTTCATTGATGGCTAGGTCACACCTTTCAAATGATTTGCTATGTTAATTTGATTTAACTATACAAATGAGGGCAAGGTTAGCTGCAATTGCCCAGTCCTAATAGTCAAGCATCAGAAAATTAGACGTCTTGGTCGGGTGCCTATTCTTCAAATTCTCAATGGCACGATGAGCCAGCAACTATGACTACACATCCCCGAGTGAGATATTACTGTCAATGACAATTGTCAAGGGATAATTTGCAGGTATGCTGAGTCACACGTAATCCCTTGAGCGATTGTTTTAGATTTTTTCGAAAAGCCTAAATTTTAGTCAAATGTTTGAAGCATCAAATAGAATGCAATTGACATGTACACGAGAATTAATAGTTGGGATTATGAGCGAAAGAGCAAATCCTAGATATTTAAGCACTTGAACAAGTTACGTGTATGAGTCTTTTGCCATCAAGTAGACAAAATGCATGTACCGAATGAAATCAACAGTTTGAGCAATACTATGATTTCTGAACAGAAAAAACATTACACTTCAATACAGATCAAAAATATTATCAGGTGGACAACTGCCACAGCAGAAGCGAATAAGCATGAGTAACTAAGAATTGGAATAATAATATGGAGTTTTGACAATTTTCCAGCCTTAGGTAAATTTTACAGGGCAACAATAAATAGCTTCTCATCACACTAAATAGATGTTCAACGCATACAAATCATAAGTACTAAAAGACCTCAACAGTTTGAGAACAAATGAACAGGTTCCATCTTTTCCAGACGGGAAAAAATAGTTGCACGAAAGCATAAACGAGGACACAATCTGTTTCAACTTCTGGTAGCGTAAACTACTTTATATATTGAGAAACCCACTTAAAGCCATCACCATACCCCATTTTGCGTACAATACTGCACATAAACACCTCCAAGGGACGAACACTAGAATCAGCAACACTCACCTTACCCTTGCCAGTAGTGACACCAGTCAAGCCAAGGTGATAACGCAGCTCATCTTCCGAGGCAGCATACGGTATGTCTATCTTGTTTCCCAAAATGAGGAAGGGGACAGTAGCTAGGGCCTCATCAGATAGCAGTGCGTCTAACTCTTTCTTTGACTCTGCAAAGCGCTCTTTGTCATATGCATCTACCAGGTATACAACAGCATCAACCTGCAAAAGGCAACTCATGCTTATTAAGAGAATGCTCAAATCATTTTTTGCTGGTGTAAAGTTACGAACATTAAAAAGCAAAAGAAAAAGAATAGCAGGCTCAAATTTTAGAACAAAATAACTGGTTAAATGACAAGCAACAATGCCACAAACATCAGTATGCAACATAACCCCGAGGAAGGAAAAAGAGGAGTAAATGGACAAGATTCTCTAAAAGTTCAGTGAAATTTGTGAACAATGATTGCATACAAGTTAGCTCCTAAACTTCTACTTGCTCTAGGGAGGTGGTCCTTACATCCACCAAACCCCAAACTTGGCCATTAGAATGGCCCATGTGCTCCCACGTAGCATTCAGGGCTCAGCTGTACAATTCTCGCATCATATATGGAGAGAGGAAAAAATGAATCTCGGACCAATTAGCCTTCCATTACACATTTGTAAAAAGTTTCATACCCTTTCAATTCAATACAACTTTCAAGAATTCAAATTCATTAAACAAGTATCCAGCATGTTTTTTTTTTTTGAATTTGCACCGGGTGTCCGAGTCTCTAAGAGCCCCGACTAATCCCGGGGGTGCACAGGCCCTCGGCAAGGAGTTTCCCGCAAGTGCACCATGGTTAATTTAGGTTTTACCCAGTCCGATGGCCCTCAGAAATTGTTTACACCCAGTGGGTTTCGAACTTGAGACCTTGAAAGGGAGCAAACCCCAAGGCTCAAGTCTATTGCCACCGGGCCAACCCCTGAGGGTTAGTATCCAGCATGTTTTAAGTTATCACTTCCTTAATCTATTGTAGAATTATTCGATAAGCATCCAAGAAAAACATTCACCAAAATCCAATTCAATTTCAACAGAATCATCATTCACTTCCTTGAATCATCCTTCTTTTCCTTTTTTTTGGTTAAGACAGAATCATCATACTTTTCCTTTTTCCACCCGTAAGGAGGTGTGATAGGTTGACTATTCTGAGCCAAAGGAGAGGTAGAGGTAGATCGAAAAAGTATTGGAGAGAAGTGATTAAACGGAATATGGCACATTTCCAGCTTGCCGAGGATATACCCTGGATAGGAGGATACGGAGGTCGAGATTAGGGTAGACGGTTAGTAGGTAGCTGAGTTTGAGACTACCGTATATGTTCCGTGTTTTTCATATCATGCGTATTATTGTTATCATTCTCCCATTATCTTAGCCTTTGATTTTTATTATTGCATGTTGTTTCCCTTGTGTCGGTTTTCTTATTGCCCTATTATTTTGTTGTTATTGTTCTTGTCTTCATTGTTTTCAATATGGTTTCTTCACTATTATTTTTCCTTTTCAAACAGCTAAGAATTGCTTTTCTTGAGCCGATGGTCTACCGAAACAACCTCTCTGCCTCCACAAGGTAGGGGTTAAGGTCTGCGTACACATTACCCTCCTCAGACCCCACACTATGGGAATATACCGAGTATGTTATTGTTTGTTGTTGTTGGCTAAGTCAGAATCATCCTTCATTATTATCAAGAGCCTTGAAAAAATATGATTCTACTGAAAAATCTGCTACTCTTGTACAGCAACTGCAGAGAGTGCGGATAAGAAGAGTCACAAATATAAGCAAGCGCTTCCTAAATTTGCAACCAAAACATGACCTGATGCTACGGGATAAGTGTCTATCTATGATATAAGCAATTCTATGAGAAAAAAATAGATGAGCGCACAAGGGAGAGAAAGCTCTTTCCCAAGATTGAAAACATCACGATAATTCTCGTACATCTTGAAGCACGCAGAGCATACCAAATTGTAGAGTAAATTTGTAGAGATAGCTGGATGACTTTAGTATAGAGCTAGACTATCACAGAGCTTCAGTATAGTCATGTATACATTATCGGGGTGTATCCTCTTTTTGGTGGGATAAGAAGTTACTTAACTTATCAAGGACATGTTATATAAGTCCTTTAACTAATAGAGGATGGAATGAACAAGGAATTTATCCTTTTGTTTTCACTTCTTCATCCCTAATAAAGAATTATAGTTAGGAAATGTCAAATAATAGTTCATGAGATGTCAAACTGTTAAAACATAACAAGGTAACAACATTAGAAAAACAATTAACAGGTTACGTATTTAACAAATAATTCTCCATTAACACCTTGACACTAATTCGTTCAGTCACTTATTATTTGCTTAAATGCAAGTAAAATTTTCAATAGGACTATTTGAATAATAAGGTAGGAATGAGATGGGGCAAATTAATGTTTTCATTCGCAGAAACGGGCTGAATCACCTTGGAGGCTTTACTTAGGATGATAAGGAAGGGAAAGGTTCACAAAGAAAGAGATAAGACATACTGACAAGGGAGAGAGACAGAGAGAGAATCGATGAAGTTGAAAAGTAATATAAAAACCTTAAAATTGGGCGAGGAGGATACTGTTTTCAATCTTGGACTCACTGCCCGGACTCTTCTATTTCTTTAGCAACTCGCATCGACGTGACAGCACACAGGTGCTACTATGGGATAAAAGTGTCTATCTGGTAGAATTAATTAATTAATTTTTTTACAAGTGGTCAAATTAGTTTTGATTCTATGACTTCTACAATACTAGTAGATTTCAATGATAAAGAACATCTTTACTACTGAATACAAAACATTATAGTAAAAGAAAAGTCTTGTTCTTAGTTTTAACCTCCTGCTTACACTAAGCATCTGTAAATCAATGTAGTATTATTCTCTTTATATCAAAACAAGAATGAAATTTCTGATAATAAACACAACTTGATTATCATGCTTATCCATTGAATACTCGCATCAATTTTCCAATGCTCATTCATATCGGCTAACCTAATACAAAGGCCTTGGGTAGACACACTCCTATTAGGCATGACCTGATGGCAACACATAGGAAGGCATGAGATTACGCATTTCTGCCTTTGCTGCAAAGCTTGACGTGCAGGGAAAGGAACCGGTTAATACAGCCAGTACAAAAGCATATTTTCCCAAGATACTCTCACGAATCAGATGACTCTTCAAATAGGGGACTTTAAAAAAGTTCACATGCTACAAATAACAGCTCTCTCTTCTTCAAGTCAAATGACAGAGTATCTTCATCTCTATTGATATGTCCCAGTTTTACACTTTGGGAGAAGGGACCTGTATATTCATTACCATTACTGAGAGATAACATCACTCTTTATTTGATATCCCAAAATGGGATATATTGCTACAAAGAAAAGCCTTAAATTGGCTAAAAAGAAAAGCACCTAAGTAAACAGTCTCTCGTAGATCCATGTCCCCAAAAAAAAATAGTCCATCTCGTAGATATTAAGATTAAAATTTTCAACAGTCGCCAATGCTCATAAATCCACATTTCCTGGTATCAAAACATTCAAAACACAACCAAATAGGGTGGAGAAAAGCATGATCTAAATTAGGATACCTTGTCTTTACAAAGGGCTAACAAGAAAAAATTGATAAGGTCCTTTTTCCCTTTTTTTGGATAAGTTGATCAAGTAGAGCATACTTTAAGCACACTCCTTTATGAAGTGCATGGCTTCACCCATAAAGCAATAACCTCTCGCTTTGGGTGCCAACATTTGCCCGTTCGGCAACTTCTCTTCAATGTTGTCAAAGGCAAAAAGCTCTAAAAACCGTTCTAGGTCAGTTGGGGCTTTAAGCACAAAGTGCAATTTAAGTGTGAGCTTTAGTTAAAAAAGGCGCAATGCAAGAAAAAAATAAAAATATACTCCCTCGGTTCCATTTGAGGGGGCACGAAGTTTAAGAAAAGAGAGAAAACTTTTGAACTTGTGGTGTATGGGTAAAATGAGGCACATATATTTTGTGCGTCTATAATATGGAAAGGGGTAATTCTTTTTGGCACGGACTAAAAAAGGAAATAGGTTCTCATAAATTGGAAAGGATGGAGCATATGTAATTAAAGAGAAAAGTAACAAATTCATTCATATTGTTTTCCTTAACAACTAATATACTTATTTACAGTCTAGCATTGCTCCATTCGAGATAGAACTCATAGGCAATAAGGGGTACGTCTTGGTACCTTGCCTACACTAAAGCGCAGCTTAAGTGAGGTGAAGCGCACTCCCTGAGCTTCTCTGAGCGTCAGGGCTTAAATGAAGCCTTTGACAACACTGCTTCTCTTCCGAGAGAACAGTATTTAGGTAGTATATTACTAAACAATATTTCATAATTATGTACCAACGCCCATAAAGCCTATCTGTTGCCACTTTTTTTTTGGTTGGGGTTGGGGGGGGGGGGGGGGTATGGCAATTACAGAGGTCCCCCGTAAACTCACTGCAGAGTTTAAACCCTTCATTTTTACTAAGTCAGTTAAAGTCTTAAACCCATTCACACTACTGGTAATGTAAGAATTGAACAATTCTGAAATCAAGTAGTATCTCTTGCTTATTGAATTATATGAAACACACATATGCCCTTATATATATTTTAAGTAAATCATTAAATCCTAGTTCTTAACTTAGTATAAGGAAAAAAACCCTGTATCTCCACCTTTAAAGTTCACTTGTTCCTTTACTTTGATATGGTAATTGTTTTCTTTCTTTTCTTACGAAGGTAACACTAAGAAAGCAACTAAAGGGAAACAGGTTTTCATGCCTAAACAGTTATAATACTGAAGGATTGTAAGAAAATTTCATATGATAAAGGAGCTTTACCCTCTACTTCTTTCTGGTAATTTTTAACAGAATTCATACAGAATTTTTTTTTTTTAGATGCTCTTCATACAGAAAGTTTTGCAAAAGAAAATTACCTAGAGAGAATAAAAATTACAAAGGAAAGAGAGTCATATCCCAAAAACTACAAAATTTCCAGGTTCCATAAACATCCAGCGTAGATGATCCAAGATGGGTTCAAGCCAGCGTAGATGATCCAAGATGGGTTCAAGATATACTCCTACAGTATATATTTAGACAATCACCTCTACTGTAGTGCCTTAAAAAATGATGATCTAATAGCCAGTACATTCTTTTTTCAGATCTCGCCATTTTTTCCAAATTGTGCCTAATTAAGGGCATAAAATGTCCTAGTTTATGTCACTACCTTTAGATGTTGTCCTGCATCATAAGACGGGGATCGAGCAGTTTATAAGCTTCCTCCCCTTTCTCAACTTGTGACGGGTCTTTTAAGGACAAAATCCTTCTGAGCACAATTGTGGACAGGATAATACCTCATAGGGAGTGGTTCCGGTCCATTCGTATACCACTTTTTAGCAGCCCTGGACGGATCAATATGTCAATAGTCCTTATCTAGACAATGTCACTGGCGATGCAGATCTAGTCTTAAAAAAATTCCATTCTAATATTACTTGAAGCTAGAGGGAATTGAATGACAACAAAAAAACTAAACGGTCCAATTCCGTAGTAAGTCAGCTAGCAAAGATCAGCCTTTCTAATCCTTATGGTGAAGGTGAACGTCATCTAGAAATCAACTTTTATGTCACAATAAGTGTAATCAGACAACCATATCAATCTATTGAAGTAGCTCTATGGAATCACTACCTCCAAATTATTTGATGTACAATGTCAATACTCTCCATGTTCAATTGTCCAAAGAGAAAAGATCATCGAAAGGACCAACGACATAAGACTTCAACTAGATAAATCTCAAACCCAAGAATACGCAAAAGTTTAACTTGCAATATAATAGAAATTAAGCACCGGATCTTATAAATGGATCTGTACAGTTAAACTAAACAGCGCTCTCAAGTAATTCTTTTAATTCCCTCAGAGAAGCAGTAAAAGTGATTGGCGCTTCAATTGCAGCAATGACACTGCACCACAAACACGGGCAATGAGATATATTCCAATATGTGAGCATTTAACACGCAGTGGCGGAGCTTCATGTAAGGAAGGGAATCCCCTACTCCAAAATTTGCACTATGCACTAGGGAGTGAAAGCAATTTTTTTTTGTATGTATGCAAACTTTTTAATCCCTTCGAAATTATTTTAAAAAAAAAAAACTTTTAGTGTTGTGGCAAAAGCTGTTCAAAAATACTAGATGTGGCATTTCTACATTTTCTACCCCTGGCTAGAATTCCTAGCTCCATCACTGCAACAACACACTCGGGCACACACACACATACAGATATATAAGCGCACACAAACACACGCATATAGATATGTATGTATGTATGTGTGCGTGTGTATATAAACACGCACATTTCATATAATTCCTCAATCAAAAACTATTTAGGTTACTCTACGGATCCTTAGTATTTATGCTGCTCAACAATTCACGCCGATTTCATTTCAATAACTAAATAATTTAATATTGTAAGGCGAATTATTAAGCAGCCGTGTGAAGAAAAAAATGCTTTGAATACCTTGGCATAATAATCTTTCCAGACACGGCGAGCGATCTGATGACCTCCTAAATCAAACGCTTTGAATTTGATTTTTCCGATACTCAGCTCTTCCGATGTCGGATACTGCGTCGGCTGATGCTGAACTAACCTCTGCAAAATCAAACACAAAATCAGACGAATCAAAACAATCAGAAATAGGAAACGACTAATTGGAAAAGCGAAGAAGAAAAGGAAAAATACCTCGTCTTTGAGCATGTGAAGAAGAGTGGTTTTGCCGGCATTATCGAGACCGAGAAAGAGGATCTTAGCTTCCTTTTGCCATAAACCTAGAGAAGACAAAACGCCATAGAACCAATCCCAGAGAAACATCCTTTCCCTTGTTAGCCGATTGGGGTGGGGGAGATCTCAGTTCTAGTTGTAATGTTCTTCTTCCACCAGATCTGGGATCTACCCTAATGCTTATTAATGCGCCGATTCTATTGTTCACGTCATCACGTGTTATTATACTTCCATAAGAAACTAAAAAAGAACAAAGGAGGCAAATTAAATTTCCTCAGTCCTCGGGAATAGGTGTACAAGACAAATTTGTCCTTCTCTATTTCTAAGAAAAATGATATTCCACTTTATTCCATTCAACAAGAAATTGCATCTTTCTAAATTAGAAATAATTTAATTTGAACTAGACAAGAAATGATTTAAGGATAAGTCTATATAATCACACAATTATTATAATATATTTAACATAATAAGTATCAAAAGTCTTTTAGCTATATAAATGTGATTATTTATGATCACTATTTACCCTAAGTAACAATTAAATTTGTACGCAGTTTAAAGGATGCATGATTTAATTTAACACGAATGATCAAAGAAACATCAAGTAATCAAACTAAAAGAAAGTAAAAGCGATCAAACCAAATGTGATGAAATAACTAGCCTGGCGTTAGGTTCGAATGCTAGAAACAGGTTCCAATCGAGTCCTCGGGAGAGCGCTCGGTTTCAATTGAAAGAGATAATGGATGAAGAATACTTGAACAATCGCTAAAAGACAAAAGTAAACTTTATTACTTTGATATGTGTGCCAACAGTCACCAAAACATAACAAGACTCTCCCTTTTATATAGTAACGGAGTTTCAAACCTAGTACAAGTCTAAGTAAGGTAAAAATCATTTTCTTCCTTTTTTTCTCAGTAAATACGATCCGCAATTAATATCGGGTGTGATCTGCACCGTAATATCCAGTTAATGGCGGATATTTTGGCTCTTTGTTTGTCCTTTTTAATCTTCCTCCTTTTAACCTCGATTTTTTGTTTCGCTCGAGCTTGATTCTTCCCATGTTTGGCCATGCCCAATTCCCGGTGTATTATTCGTTCCCTCGCGCTCCGACTTGTGGGCACCCTCGGCCTTACCCGAGCCAGCATCGAATCACGTTGTTCCTCATTTCTTTATTGAGAAATCGGGGGTAACTTTATCTCCAATTTTACCCGTACACAGATAGTCCCCTCACTTCTCGGAGAATAGATTTATATGAACTATGATAAATGACAAATTAACCCCGGTTCCTTCTTTCGTACATCATAAGCAAGGTGACGAACTGAAACGTCTCATCAGCCACGTCACTCAGATTTTAGACACGCGTCATCCGCTGTTTGATCACCCTCTGTGAAACGTCATGCATTCATTATTTCTTCCCTATAAAAGCTCTGGTTTCCTTTTTTTACTTTCTGATTTCAAACCTTCTTGAATTACCCATGAATTTTCTATCTGCTCATCAATCCTTCAAATCTTTATATGTTGTTCTTCACATCTTCATCTCTTGTCTTCAAACCTCTACACTTCAAACCTTCATACCAAATATTCAAAACTTCATACCAACCTTCAAACCTTCATATTTTCAGATTGAGATAGCTAAGACTTCAAAATCGGTACCCTAAAATACAGCACCTTCGACTTCTACCTCGGCCACAGGCACCGAGGCAACACTTCTAGTAGTAGTCCCGGGACCTCCCCATACAGAATTCAACCCTAGAGGTTGCTCCATAGAAAACAACTTCAAGGTCGAAAAAGCCTCCGCACAAGGAGACCGAGGAGAGGAGGCATGGAGGTACGTTTGCTCCATCACCGAGGAGACACTTCAAGTGGTCCGAGAAGACTGCAAATTGGAAGGTAAAGACATAGTCATTCCCAGTCTCGATGAGGATATCACGACGCACGTGGAAGGATACTTAAGAATTTATACGTATCCTTTCACGTTCGGTCCGGTGGATACAGTGATCCTCGAGTTCTGTAAGAGGTACAAAATCTACCTCGGGCAGATTCACTCGTCCTTCTGGAGGATTGTGACCCTTCTTAGTTACTTCGCTAACAACATGGAGGCGATTCACGATTGACCATTTGCTTCGAGTTTACAGCCCCCGAATCTTCCGAATAGGGTTAAACAAGCTTGCCCGTCGGGCAAAGAAAGCTCCATTCTCCTACATAGACGAGGATAGAGATGTTCGGACAAAAATTGAAGACCTCATTCCCTCCGAGTTCCTGTTGTTCCCCGAGAAGTGGAACTCAAAACGTAAGTATGCTTCCTCTTAGGTTGTCAAAGTACTTTTTGAATCTACTCATTTTTCTTAATGTTTTCCTTTTTTGACATGCAGTTATTGCGCCGAGTACCTAATGCAGTCCCTCATTTAGCGAATGGGTCGAGGGCATATTCAAACAACTCACCTATTCCGAGCATGAGTGGCGCAAGCTTTCCAAAGGCAAGTAGGAGGCTCGTTCTCATGGTGAGTGTCCCTCTTCTTTTGGTTGAATTTCCCTTTGGGTCGTTTTTATTTTGTCATTGTTATGACTAAGCTTTTTTTTCCAGTGCTTGCCTAAGACCAACAAACTTCGGGCAATCACCGAGGTCGTGGCCTTGTCACCATCTTAAAAACCCTCCGCTTCACGAAGAAGAAGAAGAAGAAGAAGAAGAAGAAGAAGAAGAAGAAGAAGAAGAAGAAGAAGAAGAAGAAGAAGAAGAAGAAGAAGAAGAAGAAGAAGAAAAGGTCTCCTGACTCCTCAGAGTCATTGTTATGACTAAGCCTTTTTTCCAAGGCTTGCCTAAGACCACCAAACTTCGGGCAATCACCAAGGTCGTCGCCTCGTCCTCGTCTTAAAAACCCTCTGCTTCACAAAGAAGAAGAATAAGAAGAAGAAAAGGTCTCCCGACTCCTCAAACGCTCCTGCCGAGGCTAAAAGAAGAAAAAGATCGTGGTCAGGGTAAAAAAGAGCACCAAGAAAGCTTCCAATGCCCGTGTCCTTGATTCTGGAGCTCTTTGTCGACTTAAGGACTATCCTGAGGATGACGACGACATATAATTCGTCACTCACAAGCTGATTGATGTCGACCTGGAGTTGGCACCCCTGTAGGGGATGCTTGAAAGCCTGAGTCCCTTGTAGCTCGGGGGCACGAAGAAGATCAAGTAGCTACTGCTTTGTAGAAAGCTTCTCCGATTCCGAGGGAGGCTACCTCAGAAAATGCCGTTATCCACGTTTCGGAGTCACCACCTCATATGGAGTCCTTTTAAGACAAGGCTCGGGTCATCACAAAAAAACTGACCGAGGCGTCCCGGGCCGTGGACGAGGCACTTAACTCATCTTTCGAGCGCATGGATATTGGTATGCTAGAGGATTACTCCGGCTTTGGCCACCTGGAGATCCCAAAAGGGGTTGTGCAACCGGGGTCAGGTGGGCCGAGTTTGAGCCCAAATCTTGAGAAGCAATTACCCGCCGCAATGTGGACCATAAACGGAAGAAGACAGTTATGTTCATAGTACCAGCGGATACTAGCATGCTATCTAGGCCAGTCGGTGTGGCCAGCTATCTCCATTCATTGGTAACCGAAGAGGACCAAGTGAAGATGAACGAGGTAGACGAGCTAAACCTTTTCAACAAGGCTCAGCAGGCGCCTTTTAGGGTATACCTTCTTCTCTTCGTATCTTTAAAGAGTTGTTTTTGCCTTAACAGCATTTTAACAAATTTTCTCTCTTTATGTCTCAGGCCTCGATGCTTCGTCATGAAAGCTTTCACCGCCCCCGAATGGAGGTGAGCCACCTCGAATTCGAGCTCAAGGAGCATGTCCGGCAAAAAGAGATGTATAAAGCTCTCTGCGAGTAGAAGGATGAAGTCCTTAGGGACGTGGCTGACCGCCCTGCCCTCCAAGCCGAGATGGAGAAAGCCCAAAAGGAGGCTTCGAAAGCGAAACAAGACCATGCCCTTCTTGTTGAAAAGGTAAAAGTTGCTCAAGATTTTAATGCAAATGCTAACGCCGCCACCTCGCAGGTCTAGGAGAAAATAACCTTAATCGACCAGCTTAGGTCCGAGATGTATGAGGTCAAGGCTTCAGCCGACGAGCTTAGGGGAAAAATAGACCTCCTAGCATCGGATCGAGATGCCACCAAAGAGGATCTTGCATCGACCAAAGTGAAGCTCCTAGTGATGAGAAAGAAGGCTGACAAATGGTCTCGGCTGAATGAGGAGCTCCAAACACAGCTTGCCTCGACCGTTGCAGAACGCGATGCCCTCGGCCAAGAGTACACGACACTGAAATCCAGATTGGAAATGGCTTCGAACGAGGCCTTTGAAGCCTAGGACATGATGGCACAGTACAAGAATGATGTAGAGGTAGCCGAATCGTGTTATAACGAAGGCTGAGTATGTGAAGTGGCTATCTCAGAGAGTGACTCTCGAAGAGATCCAAACCTAAGGAGTTGACTTAGCAGCTGATATCGAGGAGGCCAAGAGGCTCAAAGCCGAAGCTAAGTCAAAGTACCAGCTCGAGGGTTCAAATAGTGAGTCGGGTTCCGAGGAAGACTAGGCAGGAGATGCCTTAGCTTATTTTTGCCCTTTTCTTTTGCCGTTTTATATTCATACATTTTTTACTCTAGGACAGATGTAAATACCTTTTGGTAAAAGAAAAGGGTCCTTTACTTTTCTGCATTTGTTTATGTTTAAGACTTAGGATATATAACTTGTGTCTCGGGCTGAATATGCCATCGATGCCTTAGCACAGAATTTGATGTTGCTTAAATTGTTCAACTTCGAAAGCCCGAATAAGGCCTGGGTTAGGTTATGACCCCGAGTTGCTTTGACTTCGGAGGACCCGTAAAAAATAAAATGAAGTCTTTGTTAAAATATTTGAATGATTTATCCGGACACAGCTAATTTTTGTTGAAGGTGGCTCTTTTCATGGCCGTAATTCGAGACCGATTGATTTGTGGTTCCGAAGCAATCTCTTGTGAATTTAAAATGTGTAAGGACCTTATTTTTTATGCATGAACTCAGACGTCTCTGAGCCGTTTATACATTGTGATCGAAGTTCTAAAGGCTTCGTATCTTAAGTTGGTCGTTGTCTTTCGTGTTTTGAGCTCGTGCCTTCAAGATTTAGTAGCCCGATTTTTCGATCTTACTGTCGGGTAGCGGTTCGGGGTAACCTGTAGGCTTAGGGGTCTTTAGATGGTTGTGCATGGTATTGTGGATTCTTACTGCCTT